TTTTTTTTTAAAACACACTCCAAGTGAAACGACGCCGTTTCACTTGAAGATTGTTTTTAAAACACTACAAACCTTATGACATTTAGCCGTTTCACTTGAAGATTGTTTTTATAACACTACAAACCTTATGACATTTAACCTAAAAAAAACAATAAAAGGGAGTCGTCTTCCTCGCACACAATTTGCAGACTCGCAAATTTCTTCCGGTTCAGAAGTTTCGAGATCTGGCACATCTTGCTTCGCCTCGCTGCGCCTGGCCATGCCTTGCAACGCCTTCTAAAGCCTTCCCAGCGCTAAATGTGTAACTCGAGAAACAGCCGACTGGCTCAGGAGTTTTCCTGCCGCCTCGCGCCGACGCCGTGCTCCGACGCATGCGAAAGCATGCCTTTGAAAACACTGATATAAATACAATACAAAATTAGTGAAACACCCATTCCCATACGTGAAACTATAAATATATCCTACACTATTTAAAACATAGAAACACACCAAAAAAAAATCCAAAACTAACAGCTGTTACAATTTTTTAGTTCAATTAGTTAAATCAAATACCTTTATTATCCTTTTAGTATTAAATTAGTTTATTTGAAAAATTCTGGGCTCTCTCTCTCTCTCTCTCTCTCTCTCTCTCGTCTCTCTCCTTTCGCAAAAACCAGGTCGGCTAGTTTTGGCCAATGTTTTGAAAGGCGAGGCATACAGACAAGGCATTTTTGTCCCACAAGGCAAGGCGTAAGCCTTGAGGCATTGAAGCGTAAGCTTTTCGAGCATATATTATTTTATAGAGTGAATATAAAAGTACAGATTACTTGAGCCCAATATTAATCATTGTAAAAATTTATTTAACATAACCTATGAATCAGTATTATTTTGAAAAGAAAAAAGTCTTAAATATGTTATTAAGTGGACATTAATAACCCGTACTCATTATTAAGGGCTTTTTTTTGGTTGGGCTTTATAATGGAACTACTTGCTTTTGAAAAAGCTAAACTTGAATAAAACGATGAGTTTCATTCAAAAGGGACCATAAGAGGCGTATCAGAATAAATAAAAAAACAGAAGAGGCGGTGTCGTTTAATGAAAGAAGTTAGGTCAGATCTGATCTTCTTCTTCATAAAAAACTTAGCGCCTCAGACTCCTTAGCGACCGCGTTGCTCCGCTTTTCGCCGCCTCACTGTCATTATGTACGCAAAACGTGTAGAATGCTAAACAAACGACGGCTTGAGGCGATTTGCTGCCGCCTTGCTACGAGGCGATTCCGACGGCCGTCGTTGCCGATCCCGGTATGGATTTCGATCCTCTCCTCATGCTATTGCTAATAGTTTAGTTATTTGAGATCAATTTTAGATGTTGAGAGCGTGAAAACGTTGTCGTTTCACTCCCTACCTTGCATTCAGCTATTTAGTTGCAGCCACAGAACTAGAACACGTACATTTGTACCTGTCCTGCACAAGTTGTCCCAAAAAAGGAAAAAAAAGGAGTAAAGAGAACAAAAATGGAAGTAGATTCTCGAAATTAGATTTTGTTCTTTGTGTTGTACTTGCCTTTGGAATATTTGCCTTCTGTCCATCTTTTGGCATGTCATTATTCTTCAACAAAGGTTTCATTAGTATTATTAGACTTTCACATAAAGCCTATCTCATGCATGATGCTATCCAAGGAGCAAAAGTTGATTTACTGTCTTTTTTTGTTATATTTGAACCCACATGTTTATATCTGACCCAAAATGTTTTTTAAATTACAATTGTCAGGTAAGGGGAACTAGCTTGGGATTTTGATACGGGATACGAACCTCAACCAGTGTATTCGTGCTTCGTAGCTGAGGATGTTTCGACCACCACCAATATGAAAATTGAAGGTATGGGCAAAGTTGCGGGTTCTTGATCTTCTCCTTTTGAAGCAACATTTTTGTTTGGATCATTTGCAATCAATCGAACTCTTGATGCGAACTTGAATTAACATAAAGGTGTCAGAAACATTTCAAACAAAAATATCACACTTAACCAAGATTTCAGTCAAAGCCAATCAACTACAAACTAATTGAATAAATAAATAGAGTTATATAATATCAAAATGCCACTAAGAACAATAGAACAGTATGTCTCATCCACATTTGATTCGATAGGAGAAACGTTAATGAACATTAGCGTCTTGGCATTACCACCAAGTGAATCACTCATCAACATCGTCAATTTATCGTTCTTGTAGGGTATGTGTTGATTTCGTTCATAAAAAGCTTTGATAACATCTCCGAGTGCTGAAAGTGATTTATTAAAACTTTTAGCTTCTTTAAGTTCACTGCCTGAAGAGCGTGACTTTTTATTTCTTTCCGAACCAGCAAGATCCACGAAACTTAGCTACACATTAAAGGAAAGGCATTATGAGCATAACTTCACATGAAACACTAAACCATGCCTTAAGTGAATGCAAACTAACGTGCATGAACAAATATTCATTCATTTATTATGGAAAACATTGATATACCTTTCCTCTTCCAACTGATTGAAGTTGAAGGTTGGTACTTTCAATGAAAATTGAAAGTATGACATGAGATCTTGAACCTTCTGCATTCATTTGAGTTCCAGCTATATGTCTTTGTTCTAAGCCGCTTTGAATGACGTTTTTCATTTCATCATATGTTGAAATTGATAGAACCGTTGCATTTTCAACAAAAACCATACCCTAACATCACAAATGAAACATTGAGAGCGAACTTAAAAGAAGGTAATACTAATCAACAAATTAGGCCAGATACCAAAACGAAATATTTAAATAACGTAGAAATTTAAGGACCAGATATGCATAACAACTCAAAATATTCGCCAGTCTTATAAAAACCACATGGCCACTGGTGAATGTTTTGAGTTGTTATGCATATCTGGTCCTTAAATTTCTACGTTATTTAAATATTTCGTTTTGGTATCTGGCCTAATTTGTTGATTAGTATTACCTTCTTTTAAGTTCGCTCTCAATGTTTCATTTGTGATGTTAGGGTATGGTTTTTGTTGAAAATGCAACGGTTCTATCAATTTCAACATATGATGAAATGAAAAACGTCATTCAAAGCGGCTTAGAACAAAGACATATATCTGGAACTCAAATGAATGCAGAAGGTTCAAGATCTCATGTCATACTTTCAATTTTCATTGAAAGTACCAACCTTCAACTTCAATCAGTTGGAAGAGGAAAGGTATATCGATGTTTTCCATAATAAATGAATGAATATTTGTTCATGCACGTTAGTTTGCATTCACTTAAGGCATGGTTTAGTGTTTCATGTGAAGTTATGCTCATAATGCCTTTCCTTTAATGTGTAGCTAATTTTCGTGGATCTTGCTGGTTCGGAAAGAAATAAAAAGTCACGCTCTTCAGGCAGTGAACTTAAAGAAGCTAGTTTTAATAAATCACTTTCAGCACTCGGAGATGTTATCAAAGCTTTTTCTGAACGAAATCAACACATACCCTACAAGAACGATAAATTGACGATGTTGATGAGTGATTCACTTGGTGGTAATGCCAAGACGCTAATGTTCATTAACGTTTCTCCTATCGAATCAAATGTGGATGAGACATACTGTTCTATTGTTCTTAGTGGCATTTTGATATTATATAACTCTATTTATTTATTCAATTAGTTTGTAGTTGATTGGCTTTGACTGAAATCTTGGTTAAGTGTGATATTTTTGTTTGAAATGTTTCTGACACCTTTATGCTAATTCAGGTTCGCATCAAGAGTTCGATTGATTGCGAATGATCCAACCGAAAAATGTTTTCAAAAGGAGAAGATCAAGAACCCGCAACTTTGCCCTCAAAACCCAGTTCTTCCTCTTCCTCTCTGTTTTCTTCTTTACCCAAATCCCAACTTCATCTCTCTTCGAATCCCTTCCGCAACGTAAACAAACCATATTTTCTCAATATGACAGCATGTCTTGGCATTAGATGGCCATTGTAGGAGGCAGTTGGCTGTCTGTAAGTCAGGGGATTGCAGAGGATACATCCAGTTTCTGGTTTTGCGACTGTTGGTGACGGATTGAGTGAATCTGTTGACTATCCAAACGAGTATTGGGACTCTGATGAATATGCTGAAGTGGGATACATGAGACAACCTATTGAAGATGAGGCCTGGTTTCTGGCCCATGAAATCGATTACCCAAGTGACAATGTGTGATACAGAAATCTGAACATTTAACTTATTGTGTCTTTGCTTGACTCAGGTGCTACACAAATATTTAAGAAACTGGACATTGGTTCGCTGGAGATAGGGGATTATCTTGGTAATATCATTTTCTTTGTTTTATTTGTTTCTTGAAATTCTATTTGTGGTCTAACTATTTTAAGCTCCTGTTTGCAGCAATTGGTGCAATATTTGCTGCAACAGATTCTGTATGCACGTTGCAGGTAGGGCACATATCAATGTTGCGTCTGAGTTTTTCAAATAAATAAACACCAACAATTCAACACTAAAGTTGTTTACCCAATGGTCCAGGTGCTCAATCAGGATGAGACACCTTTACTCTATAGTCTTGTATTTGGGGAGGGTGTTGTTAACGATGCTACATCTGTGGTGCTTTTCAATGCTATCCAGAGCTTTGATCTCACTCACATTGATTCCAGAATTGCTTTGCATTTTATGGGCAACTTCTTATATTTGTTTTTCACAAGCACCATGCTAGGAGTGTTTGTAAGTACCCGTCTCTATTCCGTGTCCATATATACAAGTGTGCTATATTGTTTTCGTTTTTTGTACCTTGGTATAACTTCTCTCTCTTGTAGGCAGGGCTGCTCAGTGCTTACATTATTAAAAAGCTTTATTTTGGCAGGTATATTGTCATAATTTATATATTCAAGTCATGCCTAGAGCTTTAGGGTCCTGTTTTGTTTAGCGTCTCAAGGTTTTTTATTTCTATGTTGAAACCACAGCAGTCTTAGAGAAGATTTTTTTTCCTGACACAACTTGGTTTCTGACATAATTCAGGCACTCTACAGATCGCGAGGTTGCTCTTATGATGCTCATGGCATACCTGTCATATATACTGGCTGAAGTAAGCTTCTCCTCTACTCTGGGCAGATGATGACCAATCCTTTGCTGAGGAGGATTCTCACTTTTCTGGTGAGCGGTACTTTCAAGCGAAAAATGTTGAACCAATTGTAACATCAGATGATCCTATAGGACTAACAGTGACTGAATTGTATGCGAGGAGTGATGAGAATGATTTAATAGCTCAATATGATGGACAGTTGATGTACATCACAGCAAGGCAGTTGAACACCAAGATCAGTGAGGAGATAGCAAAGCCAGTTGAGCTCGGCAGCTGCATTAGCTACTGACCTGTACTCAGCTTCAGTGGAAGACCTTGCAACAGATTTTTGCTTTTTAGAACTCCAGGAGACGGGATTACACCCAAGATAGATGACATAAGCACTGGTGGATGAAAAATCATTCTTGTCACCTGCCCAGTCTGCGTCTGAATAGGCGTGGAGATTTAATGGGGACTGAGACCTTTAGCTAATTAGGATAGAGTTATTTCTTCAATTGTTTTTTTATACCATTGATATTGGGGAATGAGAATTTAAATTCTTTTTGATACCTCCCATTCTAATGATTTCCAGCTATTAGTCCATTAGGCAAGAATAAAAAAATGTATTTTATTTATAAGAAATAATACGGGTTAAACCTATAAATACGACAACAAAAAATAGGGATCTACCAACATTTTGGGGATAAAAGAATCTTGAATTTCATAGTATAAAATTGCTTGTGTAAGAATTTACTTTCTAAAATGTATCCATCATAATTATGAACTAAACCCAATGACAAACTTTTTCTCATTGCACTTGACAACCTGCTCTTCTACTTTGAGATGCATCAATATAATCTCTGCACATGAAAAATTGGATACAAAACATTCTAATGAGACAACGAAGAGAAGAGTTTTGAAATAAATTGAAGGTATCAGAGGTCATATGGCATTGATATATATATATATATATATACAAACTATTCTAAATGAGATTTCAAACATGGTGTTAGATGAGAAGTAGCAAATCATTCTTACATAAACCTCTCCTGTATCTCGCAAGCGTAGGAGATCCAACCTTTCATGAGGACGCCGGTTTGATAAAGAAGCAAGCTGCATCCAATCATACATTAATACTGGCAATCACATCTCACAATATACTCAATTTTAATATAGAGAAATATAAAATTACCTAGAAGCTGAAACGCTCGGGATCTTGTATTGAAGGCATTAGCACTTCCACGCCGAGAAGTCTCTCAAGTTGTCTTCGATCTGTAAAGAGATACTATCATACATCAAAAGGGCACGTAGGTATACTGAACACAAGAATAGGGGAAGGAACCATTCTTATGTACACTGACATTACATATAAATAAGACATGTTGATCTAGAGATAAAGATCCTCCCCAAATGTTACAAGCAGAAGCTTCCTAAAGATGAAATCTGAATATGACAGACATTTCAATGGAACAAAAGGTTTAACCTAATAAAACTAATCCTTCATTTCCAACTATTACAACTGACCACCAAATTGAAACATGCAATCTCAATCAGGCAGTAATATTAATATGATTTAGGATATTCTTAAAGCTCATCCATATATACCTATTATAGAGTACTAAGAGATTCAACTTATGAAGATAACCCATTAAAAAAATAAAACAAAAAGAAGGTAAATTCCGAGTTCATTATTAGACTTAATTCAGTGACAACTATAATACATTTGAAGATTTACAACCAAATTCCATTAGGTCACATGTCACATGTAAAATAAGATGCCTCATCCACAACACTTTAAGCTCTGATGATTGTATCCCAAGTTTTGCCAATTGAAGTTGAAAACTACGCAACTTTGCATCTAGAAAAACGTGTGACCAATTTATTAATAAAAAAATTTAAATAAATAAATAAATAACTCAAAAGAATTGATAAGCACCAGATCAAGTTTAACTCAAGCTTTTTACTATTCTCTACAACAAAAAATTTAAAAATAAAATATAAAAGAAAAGAGCACACTCTAATAGAGAGATTACAGCAAACCAAATTGTCAAGAACTTACGTCTGCTCTCTCTCTCTAGACCCTTCTGGTGGATATATGTCCTGTACCCATACGGTAGAGCACATCAAAAGACAAAAATATTGAACAAGAGCAGTAACTAAAGATCAAATGAATGGCTAGACATCTCATAAGACAACTCATCCATCTTGGTCCCAAGATCGAATTATACGAAACCGTCAGTGACTTTCAATCCGCATGAAATAGTATTATTATAAGTGTGCGAATGGATCATTAAAAAAAAAGATCATAACTTCAAACAAAATACGTTCTGATATGGAAATATATATCATAGATAAGCCTAATAGTTAATTTGCAGCCTCGGGTGTATAAATAAAGACAAAAAATAAAGGATAATTGTTCATTAAATGAAAAGTAGATCAGTTTTAGCATTCATAATGCATTAAACCAATGTAAACAGAGCGCAAAAGTACAGATTGAAGTCAAAGGCGCTAGTATCTAACCTCTAAATAGAAACGTCCATCTGGAAGTGGTTCACACCTACATAAATAATAATTTTTTTCTTTAAAAGGAGGAAGCATGGTAGTGGAGTTTACAAATGACATTCTGCATACTAGAAAATTAAGGAGGAAAGGAGGAGGATGAAAGACCTACTTGGTAAATTCCACTTCACAAGCAAAATCAGCTATTGAACCTGTTGAAGAATCAATGATAACCTACAAAATTAAAAACAAGCCACAATCAGTGAAACTTATACTTTGGGTCGAACTTTATGTACCTTATGGAAGTTAAAAGGGAAAGAAAAGGACCAGTGACACTAATCTACCATTCCCATCCGACAGATGCCTTCCATTATACTCCTTATCCCTTGTTTAAGTGACAAGGTACAAGCAAAAATCTATGAATATTCAACAAAAACAACAAAACACATGGATCACATGGACTGTAGAAAAGTACCAAGTAGGCATACAAAACTTGCTAGATAACATTTTCAACATAGTTATTTTGCAGCAAATGCACTTCTACGTTTAAATATTTTATGAAAGTCATATGTGAAAAATACAAACTGCTAACCAACTTACCATAAGTCTATACCGAGGTTCAAAAATGGGTAGCAGAAACTTCTGAAATGGGAGGACACCATCCATTACAGAGAGTGGCATCATATCAACACCAAAGTTTGTCATTGTATCGTTCTCCAACTTCCTTTCGGCAAATTCCTCTGGGAATTTCTTTTGTTTAATGTCATTAAGTGTCACAATGGGAAAAACAAAAAGAAGATATTGAAGGTGTCAGAACTGAAGCAAACAATCTTGGTAAACTCTGAAAGCTATAACACTAATTAAGCACAAAAAATTAGAATGCACATATCATTCTAATTTCATATTACTTGGAATTTTTTTTTCTTTCCGAAATCTAGAAACCACAAATCCACTAATTATTATACTCTGTAAAAGTGAGAATGCCAGACTTAATCTATAATAGGTGGAACTCCTGGGGGATGCGCAACCACGTCCATTACAAACAGCATAGGTATAGAAAACCATAAAGCAACAATTCTGATGTCAAATAATACAAGCATCTCATTCAATTATTATAAGCACATGTTCTAGGAGTAATGAAAAGAACTGTTGGGCACAAAGGACATTTATTACCTAGGAAAATTAACACAAGTCAAGGACTAAAAAGGGATTAGAAGATAGATATAGACTAACTCAATTAAATAGAATCAATAACAGCAAAACACTCACCTCGATCCATTGACTGAAATAGGCATGAAATGCCCACAAGCAGTTGTGACAGGTTCATATAGTAATTTCAAGCATAGTGTGCAATCAAAGTCATCACTGCGTTATGCTTTTCTATGGCTTCTCCTCCTTGTGAAATTAGCTTGTATTCTCTCTAAATTCTGAAAACATTCCTGAAAAGGATTGCTACAGAATATCACACAAAAGATAAAATAATATAACATTTTAGAATTTCACAAAACCAAATACAATAGCCAGCCAGCTGGTATTACACAATATATACTTAATATCTATGTTTTGTTAAATAAACATAATTCCAGTAAACAAATTACTCAATTTCTTCCTGGGTCTCTCAACATGTTCTCAGCAACCAAACAAGAGAAGCCACAGCACAAACGCACACTCACCGAAATATAGTCGTCCACGTCACCAGAGATCCATCTTTGTCATTCAGACCGGCATGGTGTAATCCAATGCCAAACTGCAATGTGTGCCCCAGGTTAAAGAACCATCTGCTGGGCTTCTTCTGGCATACTAAGAAACTGCCTTGGATGTTCATCTGACATTGCCAACTTCAATAACAGAAAAGCACAAACAAAAATCGAATCAACACAGCAGCCGAACCGAAGAAAAAAAATCCAAGCTTGAGTAGAGGCTCAAGACCGAGTATTTGAATTTTGAAGATTGGACTGCGAGTGCAAGCTTCGTGTTCGTTTCTCGGTCTCTTCATTTCACTCGCGCACCACATAACTCTGCGAGTGCAAGCTTCGTCTGTCTTCAGTTGAAGGGAAAAAAAAAAGGACGCCCAGACCCGCCCCGGCCGCCTAGACCCGCCCAGGCCGCCTAGGCGCCGCCTAGACCCTCCCAGGCCACCTAGGCGCTGCCTAGACCAGCCCAGGCTGCCTAACTCCCTTATAGCATCAGAGTTGTTATCTTAGTGGAGATTTCAATAGCTGAATGACATTTGATGGTTTTCATAGAGAGAGTCCAATCCAATCCAATCAACACAGCAGCCGAAACGAAAGAAATTTTTTTTTTTTTTTTGGAAGCTTGAGAGAGAGAGAGAGAGAGAGTCTTTGAAGCTTCGAAGCGCTTATGGAGAAGCAAAACGGCTGCGACTGCAAGTGCAAGTGCAAGCTTCGTGTTGGTTTCGAATATATTTGAAGTGTATAGCCGGACGGCTATACCTTTAAAATATTCGAATATATCCCACGAGTACTGCCGCACGGTTATACCATTAAAATAATATATTCAAATAGTACAGCCGGCCGGCTATACTCTTTTAATATACAATTTTGTCATGATATTTTAGGGTTTAGGGCTAAAATACCACTTTAGCTAATTAGGATAGAGTTATTTCTTAAATTATTTTTTTTATACCAGTGATATTGGGGAATGAGAATTGAAGTTCTTTCTGATACCTCACATTCTAATGATTTCCAGCTATTAGCTCATTAGGCAAGAATAAAAAATGGATTTTATTTATAAGAAATAATACGGGTTTTAAACCCATAAATGCAACAACAAAAAATAAGAATCCAATCCAAAGGTTTTGGACCTTTCTACACATTACCAGTACAAGATTTTTATTTGTGGCAGCTCTTCTTGCCAATTAATTTTACGATTTTTAGCACCTTTCTACACATTACCTGTTACAAGATTTTTAGCAACCTTGTAAAATTCAAAGATGCAACTTCATAACATCCTCAATTTTGGCATTACCATACAAAGGTTTTGGACCTTGAGTAGACCAAGTAGCGGTGTCTAGAGCATTTTATCAAATAGTTTTGCGATGAACTAGCAGTGTTAGAACAGCTATACCAAGTTCTAACTCCTGTCCTCTTCAGAAAAACAAAAGAAAAACATTCTGGGGATAATCTAACTAAAAAACGCAATGGCTGCAAAATTTAAATAATAATTATTTTATTGTTGTCTTATAAGTTTCATCTCTGAATGTTGGCTCTTCAACAATGTGAACAGGAAGTAGTAATATAGGAAAAGATGTAGACCAGCGCCCATCAAGTGGTTGTGCCGGAGTGGTACCGCCCAGGTTCGAATCCCCACCGACCACGTTTTTCCATTTTTGAATTATCTCAAGATGAATTTCCTTTTTTTATTTTGACATTTGGCTACAGAACTTCTTAACAATCATGAGTTACTTTTGAAGTTTCACATGTACAGATTCAAGCCTTCGAAGTGAGGGCCTTGAGAAGGAGTTCATTTTCAGTGATATTGTCTCCCACATGTTCTCGCTCAAAATCTTCATCTCTAATCCTAGACATTTTGCCATTCTACATATCTCCCCAGACTGTGTGGGTGGGATGTACCACGTGATATACAGGGAACCATCAGCATCACCAGTATCCGCCCAACTATATCACAATTCCTTTCTCACTCCTTCATCTCTCTTCCATTTCCCAACTTTTGCTACCATTTCCCAGTCCCCTTTCTCAGCATACAAGTTGGACATCAACACAAAAGAACCCGATTCCATTGGTTCCAATCTCATTAATGTATTGGCTACTCTCTCCGCCATCTCCACATTCCCATGGATCCTGCAAGCCCCGAGCAGGCTATGCAACAATGAAAACCCTGGCTGTCCCGGGATCTGACTCATCAATTCCTCTGCTTCCTCCAATTTCCCTGCACGTCCCAACATGTCCACCATACTTGAATAATGTTGAGGAGATGGTTCAATATGATAGTCCTTCACCATTGAATGAAAGAGGTGACGGCCCATCTCCACCATTCCATTTCTGCAGCCTGCTGCTAGTATAGAAAGAAACGTGACTGAATCAGGTCTTACCCCTTCTCTCTCCATCTCCTTGAACAATTCTATCACTGAGTCATAGTCTCCATGCCCAGCATATGCAGATATTATTGCAATCCAAGCAAACTGACTTTTATGAGGCGTCTCACTGAAAACTCTTGTGGACTCACAAATGCTTCCTCGCTTTGCATACATATCAAGAAGAGCACCTGCGATAATTGGGCCAGTCACTAATCCAAGTTTGATCAAGGAAGAGTGGCATCATTGGCCATATTTCAGAGAAATATCCTGAGCATCACCAATTGCACTCAAGACACTACCAAATGTGTAATTGTTTGGCTTCGACTCCATAGTTGCTACCAAGATTGTTTGTAGTGCATCTTGACACAGCCCGTTCTGAGCATACCCTGAAATCAAAGCATTCCACGATATGATTTCTCTGCAGTTTAACTCCAACTTTGATGGAGTCATGCATGGACTCAAACTTAGCATACCCAAGCTGTTGCAAACATTATGCTTTGATAAAAAGCCAGTCTTTATGCAAAACCCATGAATCATTTCGCCTTCCTCCACCAACTTCCTAATTGATATAGCATGGATTATTCCAACAAATGTAACATCATTTGGATATACTCCATCCAATCTCACCTCATTAAATAGAGAGATGGCATCTTCTTCGTCTATTGAAATCATAGTTGTCCAAGACACTATGTTGCGATCATTCATGCACTGAAAGACTAATTTTTCATCTTCAGTAACCTCACACTTTGAATGTGTCGAGATCAATACATTACAAACTGAAACATGACTTCCAT